CCAGCCACAACAGTACAACACATTCATTTTTGTGATATTGCATAGTGGTGCTAACAGGATAACACACCCAGATCTTTTCATTTATTAGATATGTGATGGCAGTTGTGTGTTGTGTAGTTCGTCGTGTTTGCTGCAGTGGCTATCCTCATCTCCCTCTGCTGAACAAGGGTGGTGGAGGGGCGGGATGGGGATTATATCTCGATCCGTTTGCAAGGCTCACACCAAACAATCAACCATTGGACATAATCCTCTGACACACCCGTACACACCCGGAGTTACACACACATACACGCACATGCACGCACAGATGGTTCCTTAAAATAAAATGCAGCGTATATTTGTAACATCCACACAGAGAAAATCTTTACATGGATGCACAATTTGATATTGTGTTTGTAAATTTGAATGCGATTGATTGAAAGAAGAAAATAATTATTGATGGGAATTGAGTCTGTGTAGAAAGCACCAGTGAATCAGGTGATTTAGTGGGAGACGCGTACCTTTGATCGGTTTACATGCCGTCACACAACGATCCCATCTGGACGCAGAAGTTCTCTCCATGAAAGAGTTGAGCCTCTCCTACAGTTTATATATCAAAGTTGCGTAGAAGCAAACGTGACATTCTCACATTCACTCACTTAAAAACCAAGAGAAGTTCACTTCACAACAATAGTTTGCGTGACTACAACAACTTTATCAGGTCAAATGGCCAAATCGATTATTCACGGTCCTTTGTTGCTCACTTCAGATTTTAAAATGTACATTTTTGTCGCGTATATCTAGTGGCAGCCACGTTTGCATGTTGATTTTTAGAAGAAATCAAAAAGCTTGTACGCGGTGAACGTTAAGCTCGGGGAGTTAGAGCTGCATCTGTTTGATCTCTTGGATCAACGTCTGTGATCGAATGGTCGGATTATTTATGTGGAAGACTCTGGGTGGAAATGAGGAGGGGGGTTGACGAACCTGCGACAGAAACTGAGGTGGTTCTCTCGAGCTGTACGCGCACCTTTTTATCTACAGCTGCTTGGGCTCATTTACAGTAATCAGAGCTCGCTCTTTGGGGAGATGAACTCACTCTGGCGTGGCGACCCATCGCCCTGGAAGCCATGACGATTAAGAAGATGTGTCGTAAGTGTGAAGACCGATTGTGATGGTTGTCACGCGCTGCGCAGGTCATCATCACACATCAGATGGATGACCGCAGCGTTTACACTGAGGGACCTCATGTTTATCCAGTCGCCATTACTCTGAAAGTCACAGTGGGAGGTTTTCTGCCTGGTGTCTGTATTTGGCAAAGAGGGCATGTAAACAGCAATGCTATCACTACTGTACCAGCAGGGTTTAGTGCTTCTTTTATTTTTTTATTTCTGATCTGGCTTCACTCGCTTTGAAGTTCCTCTTCCTTTACCCCTGTGTTTCAGCACTTATCACTAACATGTGTTTCCAGAGCTCTTGCAAAGATTTAAAGTTGTTCTCTCTTCAAAGGAATATGCGCCCGTGTCTGCAGCCTACCTGGCAGACTGGTAATACCTGTGTCATGTTGCTCTGAAATCCTGGATTTACTGTAAGCTGGCTGACCAAACTGCACTCACTGACTTGAATTCTTGCATTTTATTCGTGATGTAGCAGAAATTCCATGTGGTGCGCGGCCTTTGCTCTGTATTCTGTTTAGGGCTTTTCAGGCAAGACTTTAGAAAGTTAAGGAGTCAAATTCAATCTTCCCACACTGTAAATGGTCTCAGTTTCCCTCTGTTGAAAAGCAGCAGGTCAGCCCGACAAGAGTTGCTTCCTAGAGGCCAGATACATTTTGTCTTGAGGCAGCGCTGACATTTCCTGGAGCAGGAAATCTCACCGTTGGAAGGAAGACAGATTTGCAGCACCGCATCAGGTCCTTGAGGATGTCTTTGCAGCTTACACTCATCACTGCTGCTCTCATCTCAGGACACAAGCTGTTGATTCGTTTTTTTCAAGGTCTCTTATCAGGAAAGGAGAGGATGAGAGATATTGTTATTCTCATAGTATTCGTCTGTTTCACATTCAGCAGGATTTTTGGTTTTTCTTGTTGTCTGTTTAAAAATTAAACTTTACTCCTTCATTTTCTTTGCAGTAGCCCCTTTTGTAGCCTGGTCACATCTCAGTTTGAAACTTTTACTTTTTTGGGCTCAATTTTTTCCGCCTACTGTGGTCATTTAAATCCACACAAGGAGCGGACAGTCGTCGTAAACACCGATGAAAAGGGGAGAGACGTCTTTCTCTTATTCTCATTCGCATACGCAAGCAAATTGCATGTGGTCAGCTGACATTACCAAACAATGTTCATGCTAAGAATGGCATAAGGACTGAAAAGAGGATTTGAGAAGACTATTAAGAGGAACCCCCTCCCCCTCCTCTCCTCGGTACTCCATTCACCGAGGATTATATCTCTGCAATTGAAACTTGGCTGGGCGTCCTCCGGCCCTGATACGCACCAATTTGGGATAACTCTGGAAATCCAAATTGGTGCTTGGACAGGACACAGTCACAGACTAGAAAGGGGCAGAGATATGGCCAGAGGGAGCAGGAGGTGAGAGCGTGGAAGTGAACACATAAAGCAGTAGGTATCTTTTTACACATCCTCCCTTGTGTATTGTTCTTTTGGTTAATGTATACGACTGTGTGCCATCTGCTCAAATTGATGGATTATAATCATGTTTGATTGCAGCTATCTCATTGAGTCGGACTCTCATTGAGTCAGACTGTTTGTAAATGTGACGCTCATACTTGTGACAGGGATTTGGCACGACCGCGCTGCTCTCCAGATGTGTTTATGTACAATTAATGTTGAGAGATGGTAGCGGTGGGGTCTCTGAAATTTTCTTGGTAGACTGGAAACGCGTCGTGTTATTGGACAGCAAACACATTCTTCCTCCATGACTCATTGTTTTGATGGAAATAACTCTGCTTTATCTATATCTATATCTATCTATCTATATATCTATATATCTATCTATCTATCTATATATCTATCTATCTATCTATATATCTATATATCTATCTATCTATCTATATATCTATCTATCTATCTATATATCTATATATCTATCTATCTATCTTTCTATCTATATATAGATAGATAGATGGATCTATATATATATCGATCGATCGATAGATAGATAGATAGATCGATAGATAGATCTATATATATAGAGAGATATAGATATATAGATAGATATATTTGAATTATTGTAGGTGTGATTTGGAATTATAGAGACAGCACACTTGGATTTCATTACTATCAAATTACTCTTTTCAGTAATGCTGTCCATGTGGTAATGCTGACATCATTCCTGCACTTCGGTCCAGGTTAAATATCTATTGGATGGATGCAGACATTCACAGTCTTTGAAGGATGAGCTTCTTCGCTCTGTTAATCCCCAGACTTTTCATTTAGCAGGCTCCTGACCGTGACAGCTTTCTATGAAGTAACTCAACAAGTATTTGATGTACTGCCATTAATTTTCACTCAGATGTCAAATGGTGCCCAGAGCATTAATATTGACCCTCTGAGTGGTGAGTCATCATCTTTGACAACCCCTAACCCTTAATCAAGAAGAAAAAGAAAGTAATCGTTTTAACTGACACACATCTAAAAGTATTGAGACTTTTTCCCAAAAAATCCGTGTTATCTTTCTCTAAAATATAGGGTTAGGAGAGTTGTATCACTTATGAAGACAGGCCTCAGAACATTAATGATCCTCCTGCTATCTTTGTAGCAACAGCAGCAGTAGGGGTGGGCAATATGAACGATATACGATAGAAACGATATAAATTTGGCCAACGTTAGAGATTTTGACTATATCGCTCTATCGCGATAGCGCATGTTGATGATGTCATCAAGCTGCGCCTCGCAGCGGTTAAGAATAGAATAGAATAATCCTTTAATTGTCCCACAAGGGGAAATTTGGTAAAACCATTATTATCTGCAAATTATGCCGGGCCTCCACTTCTGTAACATTGATTCATTAATGTTGAATTCTCTCGCAGCTGCTCTATTCCCATGTTGTTGCAGTATATTAATAACTAACCTCGTATTGTGGATGAATAATCTCAGTTGTTCTCCTGACTGAAGTTTGGCCCGTGTATAGCATCCTGCTATGCGATTGCATTTGTCCCAAACCACCAGAATCCCTCACGTTAACTTTTATCGAGTGGAAAAAAAGTTGGTGTTCATCCTCCAGCTTCACAATGCTAATGTTATGCTAACATAGCTGTGTCGCTAGCAATCACGTAGCACAACTTCAGTAACCCTGCAAACGCCACTGCTGTTTAGTTTTCTGTCTTCATTTATGTTGGAAGTGGTAGCAGAGCTGTACGTTTTAATTAGTTTCAAAAATCTCTCAGTCAGAACATGGTATGAAATGTTTAGGTGTAAACTAGCGAGCTAACTTCGTGTTACTAGGAAGTCCAGATAACGGATACGATTCAACTTTCTTGTTTTATTTGCTGGTCTCAAAGCACCAGTGTTCCAAGTGTCCGTTATGTTCACGTGATAATATTCTATATAACTGAATAACCCCTAACCGGTCACGGCAGATGGCTGCCCATCCTTGAGCCTGTTTCTGAGTTTTTGCTTGCATAAGGGGTGTGATATGATTATTAGAGTTTTCTGTGTTTTCCCTGTATTATTGTTGAGTGTTTACCTTACAATATAAAGCACCTTGAGGCGACTGTTGTTGTGATTTGGTGTTATATAAATAAAATTGAATTGAATTAAATTGAATTATTAGTCGTGTATTATTTTGTACAGAATCTTTTCAGTTTAATAAATCCATCAGAAAAGATGGTGCACATTAAGCAAAGTTATAGATGAATTTGACTTATCTTTCTGTTTTAAGAGAAATGTAGGTGATAAACATCAAAAACACTTGAACAAATGCTTTCACTGTACACAGGGCTTCATTCAGAGCGTGTAACACATCCAGGGTTCACATCCTATTGTTTCTAGGGGGTCATTCTTTACCTCACTAATCAGCTAAATCTGTTCCTCTATCTTCTATCACCTCCATATTGTGCTGTATTTAGAGACTGGCAGTTTCATCATTTTCCATTTAAAGGATGATGAACAGATTACATCTCTTGAGTTGTTTCTTCATGTCCTGTTTAGGCCTTGCCTGCTGTGTTTGGATTGCCTTCAGTTATGCGCATTTACCTCCATTTAGAACCTAAACCAAATACTCACAGGACATTCCTGTTGTGTGAGCCTTAGGTGCTTCTGGTTTTCACTAATCCCCTTTGAAAAATAGGCTCGACCACCCCCAGCGGTAAAGTGTGAAGCCTTGCTAGTCTACCCTTGCTATGTTAAACATTTATAATCTCATTGCTATGAGATGCTGCAGTTTGCTTTCCAAAACACGTCGTCATTCAACGCTAAAACCCACCTTTTCCACTGTCCTCACAGACAGGATGACAAACCAGTCGACAGCCAACCAGTCCAACGCAAACAAGGAGAAGGAGAAAGAAAACCAGCAAGATGACAACACAGAGATGGCATATAAAGATGCTGGCCATTGTAGCCGCAACACACACAACCTGCTGCTGGGACTCACGGTTATGGGTACACATGAAAAGAAGCACTCAGGCGATGCCATGATGAGGGCATAACTTGAGGAAATACTGGAGAAAAACAAGCCTTTGTTTTGCTTTTATGCACATAGTTTAACACTCCAAATTCCCACATGTTTTACTGAATGACTAGAATTACAACTGAGGTTAGTTTTATTGTTAAAAAAAAGAAAAGAACCAATTTATGCTGCAGCAAAAATTACCACACGCAAACCTTGATGTAAATACTCCGGGATCATTTTCCCATGAGATGTCTTAGGCTTGTTGTTGTCTTTGCTCTGCCACTGTAAACACTTTGGTATGTTTCTCCACAGCTGTGTGTTTTGTCAAAAAAAAAAGGCCTGCAGAGTCAAGGAGTGTGTTATTTTTGTCTGCAATTTGTCACTTAGATTTAAACCTTGATATGAACTTGTTTACATTACAGTAGATGGCTCTCATTAGTCAGCGATCTCTTGCATCTCCAACGTTAAACACAGTGTTAGGGGCCCTCACAAAAAAGGCTAATGAGTCCGCCGAAAGGTTATAAACTGAGGTTGATTTCTGACACGGTTAATATTACTACTGAGTTTTACATATTTGTGACATTTGGAACTCATTTTATAAACCAATATTCATTATATTCTTAGCTAAATGTGCACATAAGGTAGTGTTTAGGCATGCGTTTCGACTTGTCTGGAAACTAAAACAATAGCCTGTGCTATTACGGGACTTTTTGAGGCATGGAAACATAGTACGCCTTTTTAATGGTTTGGGAAATGAATGCAGACATGAGTGGCTAAACAACTGCTGCACAAAAACAAAACTCTGTAATTAGCTTATTTTTTTTCCACTCCTCAGGCGTCGTCATGGGAGCCGTTTTTGGGATGACGCTGCGGTACATGCAGGTGACAGACAGCGCCGCCCTCACAATGGTTTCCTTTCCTGGAGAAATCCTTATGAGGATGCTGAAGATGCTCATCCTGCCTCTTATCATCTCCAGCCTTATCACAGGTGTGGCCGCTATAGACAGCATCATGCTGGTTTTAATAAGTTAAAAAGTAACCAATACTGTGTTAACACTGTAACGGATGATTGTCCAGTGTGTGCATAATTTAGGGCACACTCATTCTCCCCAGTGATTCCTAACCAACTACAACCTCATGCTCCTGAACTTTAACCATAATAAACTAAACTAAACATGTTAATATGTTAATTGTAGAAAAATTTAAATTCTGACAGTAGAACTAATAGTAGAACTAATGGACTATTGCATTTGCTGTACATGTAGTCTACAGGACTACGTGTACTTATTAGTCAGAAGTTACCATATTTGGACAAAAGGGTGGATTTCTGTTATAAGCTATCTCAAGCAAATTAACTCTACCAAGTTTGGTTAGGAAGGTGCATCTAAGACTGTATGGGAGCGTCACACAGACATGTAGGTAAAAGTATTGAGCCACTCCTCTTATGGTGTGTTCCATCTGAAGCTGGAAATTGGAATTTCCTAGTTGTCTGTGAAGGTTCTCAGTCATCCAGGTCATC